TTTCCTTTATCATTTCAAAATATTTTCTCATTTCTCCTGTTAGTTCCTCTTTGACTCTTGGAGTTACTTAGATTGTGTTGTTTCATTTCCAAACATTTGGGGATATTCCAGAAATCTTTTTTATTGATTTCTAGTTTAAACCCATTATGGTCTGAAGACATACTTTGTATGATTTTTTATTATTTTAATTTGTTAAGGTTTGTTTTATGGCTGATACTCTGGTCTATCTTGGTAAAAGTTCCATGTGCACTTGAAAAAAAAGTATATTCTGCTGTTGCTAGGGGGAAGGTTCTGCAAGTGTCAATTAGATCAAGTGGATTGCTAATGTTAAGTATTCTTATTCCCACTGATTTTCTGTCTAACTGTTATGTCTATTCCTATTACACAAAAATTGCAAAGAGAATACAGAGAATTCCCATACACCCATGCCCAGTTTCCCCTATTATTAACATCTTACATTAGTATAATACATTTGTCACAATTAATGAACCAATATTAATACGTAAAATCCATACTTTATTCAGATCTCCTTAGTTTTTACCTAAAGTCCTTTCCCCATTCCAGAAGCCCATTCAAGACACCACATTATATTTAGTGTCATGTCTCCTTAGCCTCCTCTTGGCTGTGATAGTTACTCAGATTTTAACGGTCAGGTATTTTGCAGAATGCTCCTCAATTGAGCTTTATCTTATGTCTTCCTCACGATCACGGGTCTTTGAGAGGAAGACGACACAGGTAAATGCCTTTTTATCACATCGTATCAAGGGTACATACTAGCAACACAACTTATCACTGGCTGTTGACCTTGATCATCTGAGGAAGTGTTTGTCAGCGTTCTCTGTCAAACCTGACAGAGTTTTATTCTCTCTTTCCATACTGTACTCTTTGGAAGGAAGTCATGATGTGCACGATGCACTTAAAGAGTGGGGAGTTTTGTTCTTCCTCCTTGAGGAGGGAGCATCGACATGAACTATTTGGAATTCTTCTGCATGAGAGCTGTCTCTTCTCCCCATTTATTCAATCATTTACTTACATCAGTATGGACTTAAGGAAATTTTATACTTTGGGTTATAATATAATACTGCTTTACTTTATTGTGCAGATTATTCCAGCTTTGGCCAACGGGGGCTCTTTCAGTTGGCTCCTGTGTCCCTCTAACATATCCCCTTATTGTGGGCTGTAACTGTCTTTTTGGTTTGACTCTTCATATTTCAGTATGGGTAATTTCTAACGTCCTACACTGATTCTTTCCTCAGCTATGTCAAAGTTTACCAATAAGCCCAAAGGCATTCTTCATTTCTGTTGTTTTTCGTTTCTAGCATTTCCATATGATCTTCCAGCTCTCTGCTAAATTCTCCATCTGGTCACATATTGTCCACCTTTTCCACAAGCCTTTAACAGATTAATCACAGTTATTTTAAATTCCCTGTCAGATAATTTCAACATTTTTAAGTCTAGTTCTTTTTTTTTTTTTTTTGGTGAGGAGGACCAGCCCTGAGCTAACATCCGATGCCAATCCTCCTCTTTTTGCTGAGGAAGACTGGCCCTGGGCTAACATCTGTGCCCATCTTCCTCCACTTTATGTGGGACGCTGCCACAGCATAGCTTAACAAGCGGTGCGTCGGTGCGTGCCCGGGATCCGAACCTGCGAACCCTGGGCCGCCGCAGCAGAATGCGCGCACTTAACTGCTTGCGCCACCGGGCTGGCCCCCGAGTCTAGTTCTACTGATGGCTTTTTCTCTTCAGAGTTTGTTGGGGGTCTTTTTATCTTGCTTCTTTGTCTTGTGATTTTTGGTTGAAAGGTGGACATCCTGTATAGGAAAGCAGAAACTGATGTAAACAGTATCTCTGTCTGGAACAGACATGTCCCTTTTTTCTAGGTGTTTAGTGCGGGGTGTGAATCAACCTCTATCAGTTGGCATATGAGCTAGGTTGGGTTTTGTTGTTGCTATGACATTTCCCTCAGTGTGCTAGACTTCAAATTCATCTCAAGTTACTTTGTATTTACAGTTAGGGCTGGGTTGCCAAGTTTTTCTCGATGTCTGCTCCACCCTTAGCTAAAGTTCTTCCTTTTAAGCTTGCTCCTGTGCCTGGAGAGTCTCCTTTCCACACTAGCGTTTCCTCCATCCACAGACTGCTGCTGTTACTGGTCGCTTGGAGGCCTGGAGAGGGGTACTCGGAGAGGGATGAGTGGGGAGAAATGCTCTGTTGTTCTGGTTCAGCCTGAGTCTCCAGCAGCCGAAGTGTCCCTGGGTCTCAGGGGTCGGTCCTTTTCAGTGATCCTGCCCTTAGCTCAGCAGTAGGGGAACTCTAACAGTCTGGGCCCAGAACATGTCCCTGCCTCTCCCACAGGATAGTGTTTTTTATGGCCCCTTGCTCCCACTGCAAATGGTCTCCACCTATGCCTTTAGGGTTACAGGGTTTGCTACTCTTTCCTCAGTGGCTTAAGAGTTTTACTCAGTAGCAGCAAGAATGGAGAAGGACCCCGGCGGGGAATCATGCATTTCCCCCAAAGACTGCTGCTTCATGTCCTCAGGCCTATTCTGCAAGGGAAGCTTTCTCTGGTCTCTCGCCCTACCACCAGTTATTTTCTGAGAAGGGCTTGCAGGTGTGTGCAAATTACCCTTGTGTCTATGATTCTCAGGGTTTCTTTGCTGTCCTGGCCCCTAAGGTGAGGGTCATAACCTACTATTTTTCTACATTTATAAAAAACATATCCCGAACTATAATTTTATAAAGATGAAAAAATATAATTTTTTCAAGATGAAAAAACAAACTGCATATAAAAGTACCCCAGTTCCTCAGTATAAGATAAAAACTAGGGCCGGCCCTGTGGCTTGGTGGTTAAGTGCGCGCGCTCTGATGCTGGTGGCCCGGGTTCGGATCCCGGGTGCGCACCGAGGCACCGCTTCTCTGTCCATCCTGAGGCCGAGTCCCACATGCAGCAACTAGAAGGATGTGCAGCTATGACATACAACTATCTACTGGGGCGTTGGGGGGGAAAATAAATAAAATAAAATCTTTAAAAAAAAAAAAAAAAAAAAGATAAAAACTAATATGCACTAACTTACCCCTTCTCCTTATTTATTGAGTTTTGTTAAAAAATGATCTGGAATTTATTCTGGTTTTTCAATATTTGACTTTTTAATTATTCATTCTTAACATTTAACTTTTACAGTCATATTAATTTTCACATCTCTATCCATTTCATTTATCATCACTTTTACCAATATATTTCCTCATCTGAAGTTCTTTATTCTAACTTATTTTCTGTTTGGCTTTGGTAAAGTCCATCTTCAAGTAATTTACCCCAGAAACAGAACACAGATGCAACACTGAGGTCTCGTATGCTTGAAAATGTCTCTTTTGCCCTCACACATCAACAACAGTATTGCAGGGTCACAACCCGGCCCTGTTTTTCAGTATTTATTTAGCTTTACAAATGAGATGTCTGGCAATCTGATTTGCTTTGCAGTTAACCCATTTTTTCCCATCTAGATACTTTTAAGATTTACCCTTTATCCATGGGATTCAGAAATCTTAGCAGGATAAGCCTAAGATCTGGGCCCTTCCCTTTTAAAGTTAATCTTGCTTAGTATTTGCTAAACCTTTCTGGTCTTCAGGCAAGCTCCTTCTGGTCAGAAATTTCCTTCTATCATTTCTTTTTTTTATATCTTCTCTGTTTGTTCTAAGTTATGCAACTGTGTGTTTTTTTTTCCTCTTCCATACACAAAAACGTATCCTTTTCCTCAGATTTATTCCTTTCTCAAGTCAGGGTAGCTGGTATGTACCTCACAGCATCACTTCATGTGCTTTTAAACCATTTTAGGAGATGGTGCAATTGCCCCGCAGTGTGACTACAAGATGACAGTCCTGAACCACTTGATTAATATGTTATTGGTGACATAATTTAAAATATGATTTACCAGGGAAGACACAGACACAATCCCCAAATTACAACATACTTGAACAGTGCGGCCACGCTGCCCTTCCATTATCACTAACCAAAGATGAAACAAACCAGGAATAGAAATCAGGAATTGGGGAAGCAGGGATTGGTAAGGTTGTGTTCACTATTTTGCTAGAAAACAAAATGACATCATTAAAAGTAAAACCAGAAACCTTGGATGGCCAAAGTTTTCATATGCTGACAGCAGACCTTTTCTGTCCTCCTCTTCATGCCCTCTGGTTTACTGGATAGATCCAACAGTGAGTAAGAAAATACAAACTATAATCTCTAAACCACACACTCCTGGAATGCTTACATATACACACCTCTTCAAATTCTCATGCTCCAGGAAACAACTAGAAAACTCTGAAAATTAATAAGTAAATTAGCATTGGACATAATCTGTAAAGAATAACATGACAAACATTAAATGGCCAGTCCAGGGGCACATACATGGGAAAAACACACTATATTTCTGATTCTGAAACAGCACAAATTTTTCCTTAAGGGATCAAGCCACCTGCCCATCCATTTTAAAACAGCCTCATAAACTGCACCGCCCTCACATGTGAAACCCTGAAAAAAACCATCTGAGGCCTCAAGTTAGCATGTGTAGGAAAGCATCACAAGACAGAGAGAGTCCCTGAATTGCCACTTGGAGGAAACCAGGAGGAACACCTACTTTCAATTTTCATAAGCAAAAAATAAGCTTCTCTTGTGTTTGAGCCATTATACACGTTTTTGGTTTGTTTATTGTAGCACTTATTATACAGTAGCATTTTCATAACTACTACAAAGACCCAAATGACTAGAATGCAAATACTGCCAATAAATAGCGTTCGCCAAACCAGATTTTTCAACTGCATCCCTACATATACATATCACATGCACATAAAGCTAACTTACAGTTTATACGGCAGAAAAAGATTCAGCACCTGAAATTCAAGGGCATGATATCGTAGCTTATCAACCAACAACCTAACTCTTAGCTTTTAAAAACTCCAGAAGCAAAACAAAATGGCTCATTTTAGAAGATAACGGGAAAACTTACGTTGGTCGTCGTGTCTCAAGTAAAGTGAGCAGTATCTGGATTGCACTGACTATGGCTGATTCATTTTTCTCCTTGTGGAAAATATTTGATAGAAGCTGCTCTATAATTTCTTGCCTAGGAAAACAAATTAATAGTCACATGCTAATTTAACATCATTTAACAACTTCAGAGAAAAAGATCATGTTACCAGTAAGATAAGTATTATACCAGTGTACTTGTTTTACTTAACAATATTTTATTTTTAATACATTTATTAAAGTCGGCAAGTGATCCGGTTTATTACAAATGTAACACTCCCATATATACATATCCCTACCCTCTCCTCTCAGCAAAATCATCTGGGCCTTGCTTGCCTTTGCCAATCTTGTTGACAGCCAACAAGTATTTCAAGACTGGAAGTCACCTCACTCAGACCACAGTGGTGCTGGTGCTAGTGGTGGCTGGGGGTGGTGATTAAGACTTAGAACTCTTAACCTCACAAAAGGAGAGGAATTTTTCAAAAAGGCTAATTAGAACCCATAAATGTTTTCCCACAAAAGCATTAACGTATAATTAACAAAGATCTAAAACAGGTAAAAGAAAAGATCAACTGTTTCATTTTACTCTACAATTAAAATTTGGTAAATCAAAATAATATGGTAGCAATAAAATGGATTTGACTAAACTACTGCCCAAAAAGTATTCTCTGCAGGCTGTTCCCATTACACCTCTCCCATATACATGCAAGGTCATAATGTAAAACACAAGAGTAACCTGTTAGGTAAATTTATATGGACATTCTCAAGGAAAACCTCAGTTTCTTAGGATCTCAGTAATTTTCAGAATCCATGTGGATTAAGAAATGGAATCTCCCTTTCAATATGACATACAATGGGTTGTCCCTATTTCTCAGCTGGCAGAGATGCCCGTCATCCCAAGGTACAGTGGCGCTCACTGTATCCCAACACCAGTTCCCTTGATCACCCCTTGCCAGGCTAGGGCAGCAAGTGGAAAGGATATCTTTCTATGTGAGGGAAGCAAATAAAACTGGTATCTAACTTAACTTCAGAGAATCCCCTTGCAGGAAGTAGCCTTCAAGTACTCCCAGACCAGCCCTAAAATTGCTTGTGAGACCTCTACCCAAAGCAGTACTGTACAAGTCACCAAACACACAGCAGTTTCTAAAATAAATACTAGGTTGGGGATTGTGCTCTGGAAAACAGATGGCTTTTTTACAGTAAATACGTATATTCTTCAGATAGCAGCCTCACTCCAGGTAGAGGGCTACCGATGCGGCATCCATCTGTGGATGTCCACCTTCTCGATCGATCGATCGTAGTGTTCTTACTTATCAGACAGCGGTGTCATACTTTCATAAATACTGATGCCTAAAGGGAGTGGCTAACAAAGAGGCCCTCACTATTTCATGGCTGCATCAAATTGGAAGTATACTGTAACCATGAAAGCATTTTACTAATGGACAAAAATAATAAAATAACCAGCAAAAATTTGATGGTCAAGATGCAACACAGTAGCTGAGCCATATTCTGAGTCTTATCTAAACATACAAATATCACCAAATACAGAAGAAATCATAGACTGAAGGACTGAGCTTACCAAACAGGATAAACGGAATTTCTTCATATTCTTTAAATAAAGCGTTTATTTACATGCAAGAGAAAATATATTCGCTTTCACATTAAAAAAGAATGGAGTTCTTGGATGAGCATCAGTAAACCCATGACATGAGCTGTTCGACACATGGAGCATCCAGGGGCTCTACCCATGCCTTTGAGACAATGGTTCGCCTTTGTTGTCATAGGGGCAGTCAGAGGCAAGACTCACTTCTATAAACTAATTGGCTCAACTGGGATCAAACCCCAACTCATTCTAACCTCATAAGTATCAAGAAGTTAGAGCTGTACCGTCTAACCCTGATAACTGTCTTTAAAGGAATTTTTGAACTTCAAAATTCTCCACAGAGCCACTAAACTGAATATATTCAACTTAAGCCCAGACTGTTTCCCAAGCTGATGTTCATTACCTGACACTTCAGTCTAGTTTCTCAGAGACCTTTTTGTACCCTACCCATCCTTACCATTCTCTTTAACCTTAGCTCATCACAAACTTTTCCTTAAGTGCTAGCCTACAATTCTATTTATACATACGGTGTTTATATATACGGTGATATCAAACCCATGGGTTGTTTGGCTTTATAGTAAGTTAGGTAATCTAATATAATATTACTATATTACTAGATAATAATTTATCAAATATATATAGATATTATACATTATTATATAATAACATATGAAATATATACAAGATGCTATTATGATTAATAAAAGTTTACTAAACTCATAGAAGCTTTTGTCACTGTGTATTTTCTCAATCAACAGATACTAAAAGAACCACCATAATGTGGGAGCACGTCTGATATTAAAAGAGGTTGGTTCTCGTTCTCAAGAAGAGTGTTGGGGGACCAGCCTGGTGGCACAGCAGTTAAGTACGTGTGCTCCACTTCGGCGGCCTGGGGTTCACAGGTTCGGATCCTGGGCGTGCACCGATGCACCGCTTGTCAAGCCATGGTGTGGCAGCATCCCAGATAAAGTAGAGGAAGACGGGCATGGATGTTAGCCCAGGGCCAATCTTGCTCAGCAAAAAACAGAGGAGGACTGGCATCTGTTCACTCAGGGCTAATCTTCCTCACAAAATAAATAAAATTTAAAAAAATAAAAAGAAGAGTATGGGAAGAGGCACTATTACAGAGTAAGTCTCCTCACTGCTAAGTGCAGTGAAGGTTTAACTCGGTGACATCATGGGGCCCCTGACTCATCAGGTCCATGTACTTGAAGAAATTTACTCTCAACAAATATTTAACGATGTCAATTCTAAGCATGTACCTATCTGCATCAAGTTACAGTTGCCTGATCCAGGACTAAAGACAGCCTAAATATAACAGCTAGTGTGTACAAAGGCTCCAATGGCTAGATCCCGTATTTGGTTCAAATAGAGTTGTGTGAACAGAGGGCTGATGGCACTAAAGAACTCAGTGATTACTACTGATCAATCTCACATTCAAGGCAAAGCTGTGCTAAGACGGGAGTCATTCACCACACATGGCCACTGGACACTCAAAATGTAACTAGTCTGAACTGACCTGTCCTAAGTGTAAAATACATGCTGGATTTCTAAAACTTTGCACAAAGAAAAGAATGTAGAATATCTCAATACTTTTTAAAATGAATATTATGTTGAAATAGTATTTTGTTATCTATTAGATTAAATAAAATATATTATTAAAATTAATTTCACCTATTCTTTATACTTTAATGAGGCTACTAGAAAATTTAAAATTAGATGTGACTTTTTTGTGTGTGTGTGAGGAAGATCAGCTCTGTGCTAATATCTGCCAATCCTCCTCTTTTTTTTTTGCTGAGGAAGACTGGCCCTGTGCTAACATCCATGCCCATCTTCCTCCACGTTATATGGGACGCCACCACAGCATGGCTTGCTGAGCGGTGCGTCAGTGCGCGCCCGGGATCCGAACTGGCAAACACCGGGCCGCCGTAACGGAGCACGCGCACTTAACCACTTGCGCCACTGGGCCGGCCCACGTGTGACTTTCATATTTCTATTGGACAGTGCCGTCATGAACCATATGAAACTGCTGATATTCAACACTTTTTTAAGCTACTCAAATGGCAATTTTACATGGTTAAACCTAACACTACTACGATTATTAGTATTTGAATGTGGAATGTCCTGTATGTTATAAAAGGAGTACATGTGTCACACTGCCAAGAATAACTGAAATGAGGCAGGTAAAATGACATTTTACTCCAAAGCCGATAATCTCTTTTAAGTTTTGCTACTTTGGAGAACTAGTCAACTCCTTCCTATTCTACAATACATACAACTTGACTTCTCAGAAGACAGAGTTTACAGCAAGATACCTTGTCTCTAATCTGTTCCTTGCTTGTCTCACGCTTGCCAAGTAAATAATACACACAAATTTTTTATTTCAATAAAAGGGCCTTCCAGATAGCTAAGCCAAAAGGTGCCAAATGAGCCTCAATATACAGGAGGACTAAAAAAGGACTGACAAAGTCATTAAAAAAAACGACAGTAGCAATAAATTGAAGCAAGACTGTCATTCGTACTTAACATTTCTAACTGTATGCACTCTTTCCAATTATTCATCTAAAGTGGGGAAATGCCTGATTTTCATTTATTAAAATAACTTCCAGCTGTATGGATGCAGGTCCAACGTATGCCCATGCTTGACGGTAAATGTTCTTTCTGAAAATGTGTGAATCTAGAAAAACTAGTACACACAGATTGGCCATTCACAAATTTCAAAATAGCACACCATCCTCAAGCTGTCTTCCGCCTAAACATGAGATGGCTCTTCATAAGGAACTGTCTAAAACTAAGGGCAGAAGCAGTACAAAGAAATGAAACACACAAGATGTGCAACCCTTCAAATCAGGTCGTCAGGTTGCCCCTCCTCAGCTGTAGAGGGAGAGTAAACCTTAAGAAGAGCTTCTGATAAAAACTGTTGACTAAAGTGGGTCAAATCAGTTTGTACATAAGACTGTTCTCCAGCAGAGAGAGGCCCTGTCTCTGTCTCCTCCACCGTGGAGGCAGTGAAGTCACGATGCAGCTACCCACCTAACGAAGGCGTTACAGGATTCCGGTTTACAGCTATTGCAAAAGTCCAAAGTCTGCACGCAAATGCCATTTATTTCCACTCTTACCCTGCAGGTCTCCCCTGGGCCTCACAATGGCTGAGATCAGGTAAGCAGGTTTTCCTGCCTTCTCACCCACCCAAGGGCATTCTCCAGGGACGTGGTTCCCACACAGGGAACACTGACCAACCACTCACAATGGTAACACATCAAACAGCACCAATATGAAAGAACAAGAACAGAGTTTTAAACGTACTTTTCTAGAGTGGCAAGCAGGGGATCTGGTTCTGTACTGTTCTGAATTTGTAACATCTGGTCTCTGCTCAGGCGAACAATTTCACAAAGTGACTGTGATGCATTTGAATGACGCTAAAGGAAAAAAGTACAATTTTAACTATAAAACATGTCAGAAGTCAAATTTATAATAAAAAGTTAAGGAGGAAATTGCTTAAGAAATAACACAAATTAACACTGATTATAAGCTGCAGTAAGTAAAAAGTCTAGCTCAAAAGAAATACACATAAAAAGCATAAGTATTTTATTCTAACAGGCTAATAAGCTTAACAATATTGCACAGTACATATTACTATGCGTAGGGAGATGTGATCAAAGTTCTGGCAAGGAAAATTTTATGCAATTGAACATTTGAAAAAATATATCCTCCAAATGTATACTTTTATCAGCATAGAAAGATGCACGCACTTCTTTGATTTATAAGAAAAAGGCAAATACAGCTTTATGGAATATACCAAATGGTTAGAAATACTACATCTTCTCCCAGTGCCCAGTGTTTACCTTACAGGAAAGCTCTAAAATCTAAGTGCCCAAATACATCATGTTCTGTGGCATCTGGCACTGAGCATAACTTGCAGACTGAGCACTGTGTGCCTGGTGCAGGTCAAACAGTGATATCCCAGCAAAGATGACCACACACACCAGGATATCAAAATCCACTGACTGGAATCAGGAGCCTAACATTTCCTTAATAAATATAAATTGGTCAGGATAATTTTAGCATATAATTTTAGCATATAATTTATCACTTAATACAAAATAAGTATCAACAGGACTGTCCAAAAGGCAAAATTAACTTTCTTGCAAGTCAAGTAGGGAAGGTGCTGATGCCCCCAAATGCTTTGTCCTCCACAAAAAAACTTGCTGTAGAGTTGGGCTTCATCTTTATCCATTTCTCCTGCACCGTGCAGACAGGTGTAATATCCTGTCGAGCAAGCAAGTTCAAGTTCTTCCGCTCAAGAACATGAACCTAGTGAGGAGCAAGCCTTGTCCATGGAGACGTACTGCCTGTGAACAGGGCAGCGTCATGCTCCTGTCAGCACTCTCCATGGCCTGCACTGGCCACACTTGCATCACATGAGAAATGTGCTTGGGAACCATCCAACACCCCAGCCACAGGAGCAGGGATTATCACCCCAACCAGACCGAAGGCTCCTTCCAAGCAGGGGTTGTCACACTCTGGCACTCCTTCCCTCCAGCACCCAGTACACGTACACACTGGAATGCGTCGTGAATGTCAACAGTAACAATATTGCAGAGGAGCACATGATGCACTGTCTCAAGAGAAATGATGGGGAATCAATAGCCCCTTTAATGGTTAGCTCTTATTTTTTTTTTGATTGAGGAAGATTCACCTGAGCTAACATCTGTGCCAGTTTTCCTCTATTTTGTAAGTGGGTCGCCACTACAGCATGGCCACTGACAAATGGTATAGGTCCGTGCCCAGGAACTGAACCTGGACCGCCAAAGCAGAGTGCACTGAACTTAACCACCAGGCCACAGGGCCGGCCCCTCTTTTTTTTCTTAAGCCTGTTTTAGATAATCTCCAGGTACCAAAAGTTTTTGAACGGCCTAGAGTGGAAGAGGCTAGAATAACCTCCATAGAAAATTCACCTTTGTGAGAGAGAATATCCTCTGGCTACACACTTCTTCCTTTGCACTAGTCCTCTATGGTGCCCAATGTCCAATTAACCTGTAATCTAGAGGTGTACAAGAAGTCGCCCTGTGACCCATGACACACCCTGCATCTCCTTTACCAAGTCCTTCACAGATATTAGGCTGAACTGTATGGAACTGCCATGTCTGTAGGCAGCAATGGCTGAATACTGGCGATTCCATACGGCTTAGCCCACCACTGAAGGTGGCAACGAGAGCAGGAGAGAAGTAGTGACAGCATCCTCTAGAGGCACACCGGATGGTCCTGGCGACTCCACGTGACAGGCATCCCTCAGCACGGAGCTTCCACCCCACTGTCATGTCAATCTTTAGCACCAGAACAAAGACCAACCTGTCAGAGCACAAAAGCCTGGGCCAGGAAGTACAATCCCCAAGAGCCCATCACTCCAGGGGTTCAACGGTGACCAAGATCCTGCTGTGCTACCTGGAAAGCTCTAGCCAGAATGGAAAAAACAAATGCAGACATGGCCATGTCATTTGGGCTAAAGATGGGTATAAAAGGAAAAAGAAGTGTGGATGGAGGAGGTTTGTAACAAAGGCAAGCAGATTGAGCCTGAAATCCTAGCTCTAGAAAGAAGACAGTGCTAGAGCCACAGCCTGCTGTTTCATGTTTCTGGAAATATTCTGGGTATCAGCAAAATGCAATGTTTTTTAAAGCCTTTAGTGTTTAGAAAATTGTCAACTTTAAGAATGCCCGATTATCGCTGTTCTACCTGTTCTCTACCTTCACGCCTTGTACAGTTATGCTCTGTGCCCAAATAAACACGGTTCTTTTTTTTAAATCAAGTTTATAGTCACACAAGAGAACTTACATCTTCTTCTTGCGATGGATGAACTATTTCCACAAGCCTCTGGATAATTTTCTCCTCATTTAACCACTGTAAAACACATTGTAGAAGTAATCATAGCAATGAGTGGCTCCTGTTCAAGCCCCAATGAAGATTAACATACTTGGAAATATCCATCACATTTTAAGTAGAATGTTACAGGTTTCTCTGGACTTTGAACACTACAGGAAATTAAAAGTCCCCCAAGGAAAATGGCAGTGAATATATTATTTTAACAGTAGCCAACAGTACCAACTACTCCCCAAATTACAATACCCACATACAAAAATTCTATATATCAGCTTCCTAGTTGGGGGTAATTCCCAGACACTGAGCACTAAAAGGGTCTGTATTTTGGTTATTGGGGGTAGGGGTAGGGGGTAAAAAGGGTGGAATTTATACATTTTCTCTAAGAGAGCATTCACTTTAAGAGAGTTTCAGAAAGACATAGAAAAACAATATTTAGTATCAAGCCTCTCAGTTAAAACACATGATGAACTTTTGGATTCCAAAACCAAAACCAACACAGGAAACATGGATTGGCAGGAGAGCCACCATAGAAGCAGAGTTTATCAGCCCCGTCACATATTAGCAAAGAGCTGCTACCATGACTAGGACAATCTCTTCTTAATCTTTATATGAGATATTACTCTGAATGGAAATATAAAGAGGATGAGAATAAGGAAGAATAAATGAAAAATCAGCTGGCGTAACGTTAGTTCCACAAGAAGAGAAACGCCATAATAAACAAGGTGCTCGCCAACTAGAAGGGACACACACACACACAAAACCCTGAAGTTTTGTTCAAGGAGATGGGGGGGTGCGGAGGGAGGTGCTGGGTAACAAGAAATCAAACACAATTTGCTCAAGACAGAGAAAGACACCCTGAGGCTGTCCAGGCTCCTTAGGGAGAACAAGCCAAACGAAAAGGCAAACAAAAGCTATTAGGCGGGTACCACAAAGGTAGAGGCCCTTTATATTTTAAGATCTGTTTTAAAATGTGCACATGAACCATCCTCCCAGGGATCTTGTTAAAATGCAGATTCTGATTCAGCAGGATGGGGTGAGACCTGAGTTGATGGATTTCTAACATGCTCCCAGGTGATGTCTGGGACCACAGTTTGAGGAGCAATGCCCTAAAACAGAGGTTGGTAACACATGTTTGGGGGCGGGGGGGCGCTGACCACCACAGGAGAAAGCAGGAAGCTGTGGGCAGTGAACTAATCAGGCCCTGACCCCTACTGCCTCCACAGGTTATTAACAAGCACCTACATTCCAAGCTCACTTTTGGACTAATCTCCCCACAGTGGGCCTCCAAATCAAAGTAAGACATTCAGGAGTTTCTCACTACCTTTCCTTCAACCACCTGTGCTTTTATTTAACCACCTATTATTAGATCCCTCCAGAAGCACATCTATTCTTTTCGAAATGGGTGACCAAAGGAATTCTAAGAAACCATACTGAATAATTTCTCCCTATAATAATCTAAACATCAAGGTGACCCTCCCCCTCAACCTCAACAGTCTTCCCTGGAATCCTCAACCTCTTTTGAGAACAGACTCACATAGAAACACACCTAAAAGGAACCAGCATCCCAGTTTAGGGCCCCTTCCCACAGGCAACTCCCAGGACATTCACTAGGTACACTCAACTGTGGTTCTCCGCAGACCTCTGCCTGGTTCTACACATCCAGCCTTGACCCCACCCCCTCACACAAACACATGCCCTGGCATGCCTGCCCACCTCAGAGGAACGTGCCCTTTCCTGGGACACCACCTGACAGACCCTCCTGTCTCTCCTTCTGGTCCTTGCAGGTCTTTAAGTAAAACTAGCATTTTCAACAAACCTCATTTCCAGAGAAATGAGTAAGGCCTAAGGTTCCAGGATGAGTATTAAAGATGGAATGGGCTGGGGAATGGTTCTAGAAGAAGGCAGTGAAGAGAGGAAGAGAGAGATGTCAGAGAAGGCAGATGAGAAACCTCATCTTTAAGTTACTCACAACCTCCCCTCTTTCCACCCTAATTTCACCTATGACAGCTCTTCAAGAGTCACATCTATCCTAAAATAACCATCTCTCTAAATTTTAAAATATGTACCCTTTTGGAAGTAAACTCCATTCTCCTTCTTATCCTGTGCATCTAGGTACCCGCGAGAAGAATATTTCTTCTGAAGCCTGATTCCCTGGAAGTATGGACACCTCTCCTTTCTGACTTTCAGAGAGAACCCTGCAGTGCATCTTCTCAAGAGAGAAGCCTCGGAGCACCGTCAGACGAGGTTTACAGCTCCTGACCTTCTTATTGCAGCTCTTACCCGCCTTAAGACTAACCCTCAACCCATTCTACCTCCCCACTCCCGCTGAGACACAAACCAGCAAAGGGAAGGATCCCCTCTTTCAAGGGGCTGGATGAGGAAACAGCCCATATACCTAGGGATGTGCACATCTGGAATCCTAACCCTGCCAAGATCTGCCTCTCATCCTCTCTCGGAACAACCTTCCTTCCCGACCCTCCCCCTGCCCCGCAGTTTCCCAGACAACCTTCTGCTACCAATCCTCTGGAATCCCGTCGGCTCAGGTGCCACTCCCCACCCCAGCCAACGACAGTCATAACTCTACTCACATTCAGCACATCTTGCCTGGGCTGTGGAGGCTCGATGCATGTCAGGAGCCTGAGCAACAAATCCATGATAGCCGAAGTTCCTATGTGCTTTATAATAAGGTCTACAAAATCACGTTTCTTCTTTAAGAAATCCACAATCTAGAGGAGAACAAACCAAAAGTGAATGACACGTAACTTGGGAACTATAAACTTTGGAATGCTTTCAATCCTATTCCCTCTAACTACCCTCTCCAAAGTCCCACCACCACTTTAAGTTAAGGACTGGCAAATGTTGAATTAGTAATAAGATGTCAAATCAGAAAGCTTGTTAATTGTTACAATATTCAAAAACCCCTTAGAACAATTTTGCCAAATTATCACATGTTCCCTAACACAAATACACCATAATAAAATCTTTTATTTCTGCACACTTTCATTATTAACTCACAAAGAATGAGGATCAAAAATGTAATACACCTATAAAGAGCAGTAGACTATACCATTTAACAGTTTATGGACAAAAAGCAAGTCTATTAGACTTCGCACTAAATGCAGAATAAATATTCAAAATCCTAATTACACTCTAGCAAGCAAGAGAAAAAAATTCAAAACAAAGATTTCTACCTCAGCCAAAGTGGCTAACTCAGAAACATTTGGGTTTTATTTCAACAATTCACCGGATTAGATTAACACAAGGTGGGTGAATGTGCAAGAGGCTGTAGCTACACTGAGAGCACATGAAAACAGTAATCATGTTATGGCCCTGCCACCTGGGCCTCTTCTGTGCAGGAAGAAGAGGGAGACCGTTCTGTCCTGTACACCCTTGTGTACCTTCTGATTTCTGTCCGTGTGCACGAATCATCTATTTAAAAGTCCCAGAAGCAGCATGGCTGGTGTGGCAGCTGCTCTAACAAAGTCTCGTGAAGTCTCTCAAAAACCTGCCAGGTGGGGTTGCTTAATTCAATGTTACAGATGAGGAAACCAAGGCTCAGACTGCTTAAGTATTTTGCTAGAGCTAAAAAGTGGCTGCCCTGAGATTTAAACTTAGATTTGCATGCCCCTAAAGCCACGATCCTTCCATTATCCCACATGAAGAAGTCTAGTAGCCAGAGACGACAACTAAGACCGCTTCACACAACCAGTGTAAATGCAGGATTAACCCTCTCACGTTGCTTCTCTAGACAATGAGGTTAACCATTGTAATGTAAGTCTTCAAGAAGTTATACATAATGAATCCACTCACAACTGAGTCACACAGTAGTTTTTAAAAGCACAGTGGAGAAGAGAGAAGGGAAAAGTCACAAGTGGCCAAAATACTGCATGATTCAGTGGTAAAAGCACTGGATCTGGAGCTCAAAGGCGCAAACCGCAGCCAATGCCATGGACAGCACAGCACGGACAGTAAGATGTCCTAACTGGGATGACACTGTTGAGGTGCTAAACCATCCAACACTGAAGATGCCCTACAGCCGGACTTCCTGCTCCTCAAGCTAATAAATGTCTGTATCGGCTAAGCCAGATTGAGTCTGAATTTTTTTCATTATTTGCAGTTGCATATATCCTTACTAATCTAATCTAATCTTACTAATCATGTGATGGGAAACCTTTATTTAAACTCATAATTCTCAAAAGGACAGAGAGGGGCCCGGTTTGGCCTGTTCCTGTAGAAGAAAGATCAAGAGCTATCGAACCCCTGTTGTTATCATCCAAGGAGTCCCGAACCAAGCACAAGCAACAGACTGACTGGGGCCCTTCTCACCGCACTTGTCTGACATGTGCCATCATCTTTACAGAGACAGTACGTCTGCCCTTAAAGATCAACGCAAATACTCAGAGCCTCAGAAAGCTTCAAGTATATTCTCACTCTATATTAAAGGGATACTGAAAACCAGGACCCACAAATTTGGGTCCCCTTAGCACAGAGTGAGGAGAAAAACCAGGATGAAGGTGGAAGACCTGTTTCGATAATGCTACAACTATCTGGAACTAACTAGTAGCTTGGGTTGATGGGATGACTTGCACTTTCCTAAAACAGTCAGCAGAATTGTTATTTCTCATCAGAAAGCAGAAAGGGGAAGACAATCTGTATTAGGGTAATCATGATTTGGGGATTATTATCTAAGAAAAAAGAACCTCAATTCCAACACATTTAGGAAGGTCATTCTGCTTAATTAAGAACACGAAAGAACGATCCTGTCTTTCTAAAATAAAACATGGACCCACTTCGCCTTGGCACACAACACAGGTACTGGGCCTAAAATAGTTCCAGTCCCTCTATGTCTGCTGACAGCAAGGACGGGTCACAGAGCCTGTTTTGCACCACGAAGGATGCCAGGCCCAAGTGGTGTGACCACCTGCACCTCTGTTATCACAGTCTTGCTCGCTGCACTCTGGTCTGTTTGTACCTGGGCTCTGAGGTTCTCGTTGCTCTCTGGGTGCCTGTTTCCATAAGTGGATCACAATCTCCTGCTAAGCGGATCCTTTTCACACCAATACCCACTAGAGCAGTAATTCTCCAATTTTAGCATGCATCAGAGTCATCTGGAAGGCTTGTTAAAATCCCAGATTGCTGGGCCCCACCTCCCGAGTGTCTGATTCAGTAGATGTGAGGTGGGGCTCAAGAACTTATATTTCTAACAAATTCTCAGGTGGTCTGGGGACCACACTTTGAGAATCACTACACATACAACAGATATTTGGAAAATAAAGTTCCCAAGTACATCTGAATTGTTTAAGAACAAAGCAAGGAGGGGGCTGTGGGGAGGAAAGAACCAGAGGAAAAAGGAGAGGGAGGAGGAGAGGGGGCGGGGGATTCTTGCCATCACAGTGAGGTATGAATTTCTGTCAAACACTACTGGACAGGAACGGCAGAGCTACATAAGTACACGACAGCCTATACTCAGACGTCTCAAGCTAAACACTTCAGTTTTTGAGCGGAATCAAAATAAAAACAATCACCGTTTGCATAACCAATCATCAATTAGATTTATGGGAAAGCCTTATTCAAGCTTCCTGTGTGATCATCATTAGGGGAAAGAAAAAAATAAACAACTGTTACTTTGCCATAAAGTCACTAAGACTCCACTCGAACACTCAATTGACTGCTCAGCATGCACCATGATGCAATCTCCACAAATGGATACCCAACATTCTCATGCTTCTAACTACTTGTCAAAGAAGAAACCAAAGGATACTAAAAAACTGAGACGCAAGGCACTTAGAAAAGAGTTATGTCAAGTTAGAATACATTCTTTACTGTGTCCGTCAGTGTTAAGTTGCGCGCATTTAGAATGCTGAAGGTTTAAATAGATTTTCTCATAGAACCTGGACTTAAGGCACACTCACAACACTGAAGCAACAAAATCACGAGGGGATCATCTCAGGGGGATGATCAGCCCTGATACTTACCTTCTGGAAAACAATATTTACCTGTTCTGGTTTTCTGCTGATAAGAATACTTAGCACCTTGCTGAAGAAACTGGCAAGTAGTGGGTTCAAGGGGGAATCGTTTAGGAGGAAGCTATATAATTTCATTAGCAAGGATTCATCTTCTCCCAGTCTATCATTCATCTGGGAGACATCAGAAGTGAGCAACTCACAAGATATATTTGGATACCTAGAAGAACAGGATACTTATATCATCATCTATAGTAACAGTTTAATTACATAAAGTAAAACACAAATCAGAAAGGCTTCCTAAAATTTTGTGAAAAATAACAAAATCATCTTCTGGGACAATCCATTCTGTTCAACCTCTAGATTAAAGTGAATTTTCCACTGTGTCTAAAAGATTGTTTCTAAACCAAGCATCAATAGGAATACATTTTCCCCAACAAACAAGAGCACACCTAGGACTCAGGAGCCAAGGGAGGTCATGCTGCAGGGCGTGGGCCTTCACAAATGTGGAGATGAAGCAGGAAAGAGCCTTGGGCTGCAGCCGTCAGCAGCCTGGACTGGCGTGGAAAGCGGCACCGCTTGTAGGCCAACACAGAGGATGATGGTTTCCTGGAAACTGCACTGCACACAGCACCTTTTAACTACCCAAGACACATTTAAGTTCCTGGACCAGCCACCTCTACTTTCACAAGGGTTGCAAATGGCACTAGAAAGTTGTTTTGGGAGACTTATCAAGTGTTCAGTCTATATTACTCCTTAACAGAATAAATACTCAAATACGCTGAAGCGGAGAGCCAGGACGTCAGCCTGAGAACCCAGCTGGGAAGCTGTATGCAAAAACCGAGCGCTCCACACCAGTGTTCCAAGGTAGTCTGGGGACCAGCCACAATCGGCTCCCACTGCTGTGGGACACAGACTCCCCCCAACCCTAGAAAACCTGCACCCCTAAAGCAGGCTTGCCTTCGAGCACCAGAGGACTCTCTCTCTCTGAACACTAGGCAGCAGATCCATTTTCTCCACTCACTTCTTTTACCACCAATGGTTTCTTGTCTGTTTTCAATAGCAACAATGGAGACTCCACAGCCTACCCAGACTACACTCTCCTAGACCCACAGGTCACTTCTCTGCTCTTTATTCCTCCCTGTCAAGCAGCCAGGATCTAGCACCAGCTAGGCATCAGAAGTGGCATGCTCAAATACTGACCAGGACAGGGAGGTGACAAAACAGCCAGAAGCAGCTGAATGACAACAGGGAGAGGTGAGGACTGTGGCTATAATACATGCAACACCCTCGAGGCATCTAAGACCAGCAAGTGGCTGCCTGTCTTGAGGCCCCTGGCTCAAGAGGCAACTGGCAACAGAGCAGAAGGCTGCAGAACCTAAGAGGGTCTGGCATGAGGTCAGAAGACTGAACAGTACAAGAACATCTCAAGATGAACCTCTGTAGATAGGAAAAAAACTGAAGAGACAACAGAACTGACAGGTTGTGTGGGCATGAAGACCACATTATCAAATAGCTGTATTCTGGAGGCTTATGGCTCAACCAAGTTAAAGTCTTCCTGAGTTTATGTAACATACAGGCTCAAAGTGCCTACTATAAAGTCCCACTACGCTGGGGGCAGGAGTACACAGTGGGTACTGGCACAGCTTCTGGAGCCACACCCTCTGGTTCAGAACCTGTCTCCACCGCTTACAAGCTGCATGACCTTGGGCAAGTTACTTAACGTCTCTGGGCCTCAGTTTCCAAATCTGCAATATTAAGACAATAGTCCTTACCTCACAGAGGAGGATAATACATACAAAATATTGAGAAGAAGGCCTGGAATGAAGGAATGCTAGCTCTTTTTATTCCTCCTTATTTTCTACTTTACAAAACTCTATAAAACTGCCAAAATGCTCTATGGGGGCAGGGGGGCCTTGTCTCAACTGCCCCAATTTGAAAGTTGCTGGCGAATAAAGAATCAGTAAAAGGTGAACCAAATGTATAGGGTGTTATTCTCCAAATTCTGACGCAGAAGGTCCAGATGAGGGCATAGGCTTCTTTTTCAAGTTTTCATGAATTGTTCACTATTTTCCCATAGGTGACTCAGAAGTATGATCTAGCTAAAGAAGCTCACACATATGGGGACCTAGGCACTATACAAAAAGTTCCAAGTTCTGGTTCCGGACAGGCTGGGGTTACTTTCTCTCTCCCTCTCTCCGTCCTCAACATTAAACTAGCTTCTAAAACACCCAAAGACCCCCTCCATCCCACCCCTCGGCAAAGCCTCTCCTCTTCCCCCACTGCACGCATGCTCTGATCTCACTTCCTTTGTACTGAGAACACGGAAGCAATCAGAAGAGAATTCAGCCCGAATGCATCCCAACCTGCATCTGGGCCCCTACACAGGAGCCAGCCTTGCTCCTACAGCCACCCCTCAACTCGTCCTGTTGACCACATTCCCTCCCACCTACTCAAGCACAGTGCATCACTAGATCTCCTGCTCCCTCCACTCATCTCCCTCTGTACTTACTCCCTCATTCTCACAAGCATATAAACATACCATTATTTTTTCCATCTAGGGAAAAAAATTCACACACCTCTCCTGACTCCACATCCGCCTGGAGCTCCCACTTTCTCCCTCTGCTCCCTTTCCAGGAAACCACTTCAAAGAGCTGTCTCAACTCTGTCTTCAATTCTTCCTCAAAGGCACTCCAAGGCCCACGTGTTCCACGCTGCAAACGCCAATGGTCACTTGGCCCATCAGCAGCAGCCCCTGACCCACTGTCCCAACTCTCCTTCCTGAAGTCTGTCTTCCCTAGGTTGGCAGGGTAGCAGCCCCTGCTAGTTCTCCTCTTGCCTCTAGCCACTCCACAGTCCCTCTCTGTGAACTATGACCCAACCAACAGCATTTTAGTTTTTGGATTTATAATACTACTTAAGGACCTATTTTTAAAGTTCTGTTAGTTCGAATTTATGCTAAATTATTTAAAATCAGAGGTATCTGTCATTAAGATTAAAAAGGCTAGTGTAAAATGACAAACCTTTAACATGTTGTAGATGATCACTGAATTAAGTTAAAACAGTGATGGGGTTCAATCCATGTGTGTAACTAAGATATAGTTACGAAGTTCACAACACACAGCCATCACTCTACCATCAAGAAACTATACACTAGTCTAAATTTCCTTCAATGACTGTAGTCAATCTTAACCCTGAAAAGCTGTCAGATCGCATTTGAAAAACACCTCTATGCTTATCTAGCTGCTTGAGTCATCCAGTTATGTGTACATGACACACAGCTGGTGGCTCTGTCCAGGCTGGAAGCACAGCAGAGAACTGCTCTGCCCAGCTCAAGTCATGCTCCTTTGAAATGGTGCCACCAAGAAGACTGTGTGTCCAGGGAGGCAAACCTATTCTCATAACCCCAAAAGTAGCACAAAAAACGCTGGCATGACAACACAACAAAAGCCACGACTACTTTTTGATAAAATACACATTTTCCATACAGCATGCCTACTCTTCCCCAGTTAAAGAGGTATTAGCTTCATTCAGCTAGTGAGGAAACAGAAGGACAAGCCCCTTGCTTAAGTTCTCACAGCTTGTGAGAGGGGAGGGCTACCCACCTCCCAGCTGGGCCTGATGCAAAGCCCATACCACACCGCCTCCCACCAGGATAAGCCCCACAACAGGCGGCACTTACACATGCTGGCTCACTATGAAGGGAATTCCAAAGCAGCAGAGTGTCTATCTTTTGGGAAATGGGAGTATGCTAGTATTTCTTCTGCCAAATTTCTTTCCTCTTCTTTTTTAAGGCACTGATCTCTGAGTGGACACTGTCATTGAATGCTAGTTGTCAATCTTAAATGGCTGGCAGGGAACATGACTTCCTAGAAGATCCAAGCCACCAGCAACTTGAAAGCATTAGTATTATTTCCCTGATAGCAAAATTTTCCCCACGAAGAAATAAAAAGATATCAAAAAAAGAGGAACAGACTGGGGGAGAAAGGGCAAAGGAGAATCTACTAAAGGCCATAATTCTTCCTATTCCGTTGAGTTTATTTAATAAATAACCAATGACTTTTTATTTCTGAATTTGTTAGATTTTCTGGGGTGTGGGGGGAAGAGCCAAATATTTCAATAGAGTTGGAGATGAAAAAATAATTAACTGAAACCCCAATACTTAAAATACATGTGGAGTACAGGCACAGCTCAGTGTACTGCGCTTCACTTTACTGCACTTGGCAGATACTGTGTTTTTTGCAAGACCCTCCACCGACAAAAAGATTATGACTTGCTTCAGGTTCAGGTGACGGTTACCGTTTTTCAGCAATTAAGTATTTTTTAATTAAGGTATGTACATTTTTTTAGACATAATGCTACTGCACACTTAACAGACTACAGTATAGTGTAAAAATAACTTTTATATGCACTAGGAAACCAAAATATTCGTGTGACTCACTTTACAGCGTTATTTGCTTTATTGCAGTGGTCTAGAAACGATCCCGCAATATCTCTGAGGTCTGCCTGTATTCATAAAGAGTTTCCAGGGGTCTGTATACAAAATGTTATAAGAGACAGTAATAAAGGATTCCCACTGTACTACCGTTCCACTTGTAAGCAGATGACACTAGTGATGAGTAGATAAAACCCACTGTAGTATCCAAGGTGTTACCTGCTTAAATGTAGCTACACAAACGTTCACCAAAACCCTAACTCTTATTTTCAGTTAACAAAAGGTGAGAATTTATTTCATCAGCAACACTCTTCATAACCCCAGCTCTGGCTAAGATTTGGTGTGTGATCGTGGGTAGTCACATTATCTCTATCTTCCTATGTGCAAAGTAGAGAAATACTTACTTGGATTGTCTTACTATTTTAAGAAACTTTATCACTGTTGATAAAACGCTTTGCCCTTCCACAAAACCTCCTGACTGAAATTTAGAACACTCATTTTTAAAATCCTGTAATTTCACCGGACTTAGTTCTAGAGATGAGGTACTCCACTGAGCCTGTCACTCTCGACCATCTCAACATTCTGTAAATGGTCTACACAGCCCCAGGGACTTGTTGGACAAAACGAATATAATATTCTACCCCCACTTCACTTTAGTCCCACCCTAAAGAGAAGATTGAATTTTCTTACTTGTATCTGATCTTTTCATCCATGTCTTGAGGTGGTTCTTCTATAATGAATGAGACTAAATCTTCGAGACATTCTGCTTTTAACAGAAACTCTATAAGTTTGCGATTCTGAGCTTTACATTCCTGTAAAACATCTTCCTCATCCATTAACTCCTTCAGTGTTACATCTTCTCTTTCTAGAAGTGTGTCTATGTGGGATGATGAGTGAAGATCAAATTTCCAAAACATGCTGGTCTAAACAAAATGCAGAAAGTATTTCAAATAAAATTTCAACTTCATATTAATTTTCCAAAATTCAAATTTCAGCTTAGTTTTACAGTCTAAAATGCCAACTTGGGTCACATAAGTAAAATAAGTTTCATACTGAACCTATAAAATACTTTTTAAATAAGTAAAACTGGCAGGATTGTTTTTCCTTCTCAGAAAAGAAAATATTTTTATTAATAACAAAAAATTTTGACTTGAAAATGCTGAAAGAAATCTAAAACTTGGGATGATTTTAACCTGCAAACTTAATCCATCCAAATTTGGTTAAGAAGTTAATGCTGCGAAAGACAGAAAGTAACCCCTTCTTAAAAGTGAAGAACACATTCTTACACAGGACTAATATCCTTAGCAACAAATGACAAGTATTGAGACCTAAGTATCTAGCACGCTTCAGAATACTAAAGAATTAAATAAATAACGACCACAAACCAGATTTTTAGCCACTGACAGCACTGTTTCACAGATGAAAGTCTAAAAGTCATAAAATGGTAAAACCTGTATCACTCTTAATAAAGAAACTAAACAACCAGAACCTAATTCTTAAGGAATTAGAGAACCGACTCGCCTCAGTTACTAGAAAAAACATCTGACAATCAACCTAAAACAATCACTCCACAGTACCACATACACACTCTCCCTTCATCTTCCTCCGCAGCCTCCTCAACAACGAAAACACAAGGTTTGTTTTCTTCAAGTTACAGAGTTAAAGTAGGTCCTTATTGGTTATAACTGGAAATATGAAACACAGAGTTCACAATATAATCTAGAGCTGCCACGGCAAGAAAATCTCAAAGGCCACTTTTGACCAACAGGACAAGATAATGGCATTAAACACAAGTCCTGGTTAGAGACAGAACCATTCAAAGGTCATTCCTACCTGTCAAAGATGCTCACTGCAGAATTCCTGAAGTTTGGTAAGATACACTTACTCCATGTAACCCCAAAATCCAAACCTATAGATCAGTTGCAGCTTCACTACTGACCTAGTCAAGTGGCCTCTGTTACCATTATCACCCAAAAGCATGTTCATATCCACATGTGCTCATTTAAAATCCTGTGCTGGAAGAGCCTAGGTACAAGGAAGGTGGTAACCTATGGATAGCACACACACATTTTTAGAAGTATATATTTTGCTAAATCCACCCACATTAGGAGATCAAGTAGGAATATCATACTGATCAATCTAGGAATAAAAGAAGACAAACAAACTGTGCACCATGGCAGTTATTCAAGGACAGGTAAAGACATACCCACTTCACGTGACTGCACTGTTAAGTGTATGATCACAGTGTTTTAAGATATAAGCAGAGTTTTAAGGCAGCTAAAAAAAAAAGACTTCTTAAGGGAACAACTTAGAATATTATGAAATATGGTGTTATAAAAGTTGTCCCTGTTAAAAACAAGCTTTAAGTGTTTCAGAAGAGACATGGCAACAGGATCGAGACACGGTTAGGGATGAAAAGCTACCATGACGGTTTGCCTAAACCAGACTGGCAATGCCTCACTCGAGGGAAACTGGCATGCAGGACTGAAGCTTGGTGGGATGATATAGTAGGGCCCAGGACATAAGGCACAACTGTCTCTTTCCTCTTAATGATCAGGCCAATAATTATGTATAGAGACATCACAGAACATGCTAGAAAAGTAATGTCACGACTCAGCACGGTCAGCAACCACCCACACTACTAGGCTAATAAGTGACCTCTCTCCTCCAAGACAAGGAGCAGGCAGAGTGCCCAGTGGGCACTATGACACACATGTGCTAGCGAAAGAAGAAACGTACAGAGTGATGCATTGATTAAGGATGAGGCTACGTTCTGAGACACGAGTCCTTAGGCGATTTCGTCCTTGTGTGAACATCCTAGAGTGTACCTATACACACCTAGATGGTAGAGCCTACTACACTTCTAGGCTACATGTTACTCATCTCACGGGACCACCGTGGTCTACGTGGTCTGTCGTTGACCGAACGGCTGCCATGCGGTGCACTACTACTTCGAACACAAGAGCAACCTACTTCCACTTCTAAGGCAATTACTAAGGAAATCAGGATAAAGATGATATACGCATAACAAGAAAGGAACTTTGGGAAAAAGACAGGGGAAATAAATCTTATACATAAATGCTTCTTTCGTTTGCAGATTTGCGGAAAATGTCAAACAAAAAAACACCTTCATTATGCCATTTTATCCCAATAAAACTGACAAGGAGAAAAAAGACAAAAGGATACCAAAAGACAACTCCAAAGGAGGAAAAAAAAAGATTTCCACGCCTACAAAGAGGAAGGAGAAAAGTCGTCGCTTGTCTGGGGCACAAAGTAAGCCCGTCAGCATAGCCCACAAGGCTTCCGTTGGCTCATTTTTCTGTGAGTCTTTCAAATCACAAATTCTAAGAAAAGTATACTTTCCCACTTTCCCCCCACGCTCAGTATTAGGTTTATGATGACCACAGTAGCTATATTCAGCACAGTGCCCTCCACCAGCATATAAGTCACAGGCCCTGTTCAGACTCCAAGTGCGTGCTAACTCGCACTGTTCTCTAAGGACGGACACCGGCACGGGAGCTCCAGTGGAGCTGAAGTAGCAAAATCACGTGGAAGAACCATCATTGATGTCAGTCCACCTTGTCTTCAAAGTTGATCATGGAAATTTGGATCCTAGGATGTCTACAGATTGACAAAATAGTTCATTCTACTTATTTTAAATACTTCAGCAAAGTCACTGACTGAAGGGCTTACCAGGCATATTCAAGTACCTTCCCACACCCAGTGCCCCAACGTGATCAGGTCAGTATGTGCTTATTTTAGTCTATAAGCCAAATTTCTGATAATCTAATAGTCTCTCCAGTCCAAGTAAGAAAACCAGAAAAAATTAATAATTTAGCTTGAAGCCTTTATTAAAATTAGGTCTCATTTAAAGTATCATGTCTTGGGCCGGCCCCGTGGCTTAGCGGTTAAGTGCGTGCTCCGCTGCTGGCGGCCTGGGTTCGGATCCCAGGTGCGCACCGATGCACCGCTTCTCCGGCCATCCTGAGGCCGTGTCCCACATATAGCAACTAGAAGGATGGGCAACTATGACATACAACTATCTACTGGGGCTTTGGGGGAAAAATAAATAAATAAAATTTTTTTAAAAATTAAAAAAAAAAAAGCATCATGTCTTTTCATTTTTTGTAAATATATAGGTAAGATACTAAGAAATAAATCACAAAAAAGCAAATCTGATATCTAGCCCTTACTATTGGCTAATTATAAACAAAATATACACTCATATAGTCATCAAGTGAAAACTATAAATGTCTACAAACTAGATAAAGTCATACTTCTAAATTATGGATCAAGATATAAATATTTACCTCAAGTAAAAGCCAACTTGCAAAATTTTAATCTTATAAAGGTAACTCATTAAGCACTGCATTTATAAAGAAGACCAATAATTTAGTCGTCCTGAAATAAGAGCAGGAGTTGGCAAACTGCGGCCCACAGACCAAACCCAGCCCACAGCCTGCAAGGAAAGAATGGGTCTGAGATTTTCAGAGGGTTGTTTTAGGAAAAGAGAAGAACACGTGACAGAGACCATACTGCAGCCTGCAAAGCCTAAACTATTTACTATCTGATCCTTTACAAAAAAGGTTTAGTGTCCCTTGCTCAAGAGGAAAAAGAGTTCCCACTAACTTTCTTTTCTGCTATCTCTGAATCCCCAAGGCATCCACCCCAGAGCCCTCGCAGCCTGCCCACCACATGCAGCCTCCCTTCCTTAGGCACTCACACAGACCATGTTCCCAAATCCTCGGGCAGGTAGGGATGGCTGCATGACCAAGTCCTCCCCAAGGCGCCATGACCCATAAAAACCCCTATGATTGGTGGTGAACATGATGTAATCTATGCAGAAATAGAAGTACAATGACGTACACCTGAAATTTTTACAATGTTATAAACCAATGTTACTGCAATAAACAAAAAATTAAAAAATAAATTAATTAATTAAAAAAAAAAAAAACCCTATGAGCTCTCCCCTGCATCTGGCGGGATGCCGATGACAAAACAGGCCCTAGCGGCCCGGCCCTGTGGCTTGGTGGTTAAGTGCGCGCACTCCCCTGCTGGGGGCTTGGGTTCGGATCCCGGGCGCACACCGACGCACCGCTTCTCCCGCCATGCTGGGGCCACGTCCCACGTACAGCGACTGGAAGGATGTGCAGCTATGACATACAACTATCTACTGGGGCTTTGGGGGAAAAAATAAAAAAAAAAAAATATTAAAAAAAAAAAAAAAAAAAAAAACAGGCCCTAAGGGACAACAGAGCCAAAAAATGGAAGAAAGCTGCCTGCCAACCTCAGGGCCTGCCCTAGCGGTGCTCCACTGAGCCAGCGTACACCTGGTCTGCGCTCCAGCAGGGCAGCCAACCTGACCAACCAGCTCCTCTAATCCCTGAGCCCATGACTGCATGTGTTATTGTACTTATTTAAACACAAGGAAAGCAACTCTTTAGTAACTGTTTTAAAATACCTGTTTCAAAACTTCTTTGGCATTCCACTATCCCGAATTACAATAGCATTGTTCAAATCAGAACACTTTGAAATACACAGTTCTGTAGTGCATTTTCTTTAAATCGGGTATGCTGCAAACTTAAAAATAAAATATAACCACAGGAGACTCCTTAAGTAAACACTATGTATTTTATCATTTAGCCACAGCACTCTGAGTAGAAACCAAGGGCACTGGTAAATTAGCTATGCCTGGCTTGGCCCTAGCTTTCATCTGTGGCCTTTGAAGTAGAAACAAGTGGGGGATGAATGAACAGTTACAAAGTTCAACTGCCCAGGGCCCTGTAGTAAAATGGAGTCCTTTAAAAAATGTAACTACTCTACGATACTCAGAAACACTGAAAGGAGTCACAACTTCAACAGCTCCTTTTTAGTAAACATAAATACACTTTAAACTTCATACCCTAGCTGTACTTGAATAGGA